GACACACAAACAACAGCAACAACGACTAAAATACGACTTACGTATAATGTAAAGGTAGAATCAATAATAATAATAATAATAATAATAATAATAATAATAATAATAATAAACAATAATAATAATAAATACTACTAACAATAATCAAACCATAATTAGAAATATTTTAAATTATATGGGACTTAATCATTAGATACAAATCGAAACGACATCTTTTACGATACGGTTTAAGCTAGGATTAACGAAGTTATATAATAATAATAATATTGATAATAATAATAATAATAATAACTCATTTATAATAATAATTATTATTATTATTTATCTTGAGAAATATAATGGAGACAGGCATTAATTAAAACAGGAATTAAAGGACGGAAGAACGAATTAGTTTTGATTGACAATCGCAGGTCAACAAATTTCCATTTATTTGTGGAATAATAATAATAATAATAATAATGAATAATAATAATAATAATTGCAATCAACATCATCATCATCACCATCATCATTAGCAGGCTACGTTATCAACACTATCATCATCATAATTATCATCATCATCATTAGCAGCTACGTTGTCAACACTATCATCATCATCATCATCAATTTTTGTAGATAGAGATCGTCATCATCGTCATCACAATTCCGGAAGATGTTATCCGCCAACAAAGCTATCCTCTGCATCTTCGTCGTCACCATCGTCATTGCTGGCATGAGTGAGTGGAAATCATTTTTTTTATCATCATCGTACTTTTTCTCATTATTATTTTTTTTCTCCTGTTTTCTCTTCTTCTTCTTCTTCTTCTTCTTCTTATTATTATTATTATCATTATTATTAGTAGTAGTAGTAGTAGTTGTAGTAGTAGTAGTAGTAGTAGTGGTAGTAGTAGTAGTATTGTTGATGTTGTTGTTATTGTTATTACTATTCTTACTATTGAAACGGTAGTACTAAAAATTTGTTTCATGCTGTCGCTTGTTTATTTGAAAATGAAGCCAGGGCAGACCCGCACGACCCTCCAACAGACCCACACGACGCGGCACACCACATTCACAAGAGGTCAGTCAACGACCCGAAGTTAAAGGTTATTAACCCCTGGTTGAATTTGAACTGGAGGACGATGGCGGCCCAGTCTATTGATAAAAATATACAACTTCTTAAAGGGTTCAACCAAAAGAAGTTAGTTTGTGTGTTTGTTTGTGTGTTTGCATGTTTGTTTGTTTGTTTGTTTGTATGTTTGTGTGTTTGTTTGTATGCTTGTTTGCAACCAACCAACCAATCAACCAACCAACCAATAAAAACAGGGCCAAAAATGTGATAATGTTCCTCGGAGACGGCATGGGTCTGCCGACTGTCGCTGCAACACGTGTCTACAGACAGCAAGGCATCAACCCAGCCGAGAAAAAAAACTACCTCTTCTGGGAATCTTTCCCTAACCTCGGATTGGCTAGAGTTAGAAATTTTTTATCATTATTTACTTTTATTCGTTTTGATATCTTTCAGCCAATCACCATTCACTTCATTAATTACATCATTACATCATCTCAACATCGTCACGTCATCACATCCCCAATGCCGTCATCATAACACACACACACACACACACACACACACACACACACACACACACACAAACAAACACACACACACACACAACACAAACACACACACACAAACACACATGACGTCATCATCGATACGCAGACATACAACGTGGATCACTCGACCCCAGACAGCGCAGGGACTGCCACGGCCTATCTTTCGGGCATCAAAGCAAACCTGGGCACCATCGGTGTGACTGAGTACGTGCAGTTTAAAAAATGCTCCAACATGACGGGCAATAGGGTGGAGTCTATAGTACACAAATCTATCAAAGAGGGTTTGTTGGTGGATTGGTTACTGACCATCAATTATTATATTAATTAATTAATTAATTAATTAATTAATTAATTAATTAACGATTGAATAATCAACAAATCGGCAAACTAATGAACCAATGAATTATTAAATCAATGAACAAACGAACAAATGAACGAACGAATCAACTAAACAACCAAACAACCAACCAACCAAACAACCAACCAACCAAACAAACAACCAACCTATCAAACAACCAACCTATCAAACAACCAAACAAACAACCAAACAAACAACCAACCTATCAAACAACCAACCAATCAAACAACCAATCAATCAAACAACCAATCAACCAATCAATCAAACAAACAAACGCAGGAAAATCCACAGGGATAGTAACAACTACCCGGATTACTCATGCCTCTCCGGCCGGATGTTACGCCAGCACTCCGTGCAGAGACTGGGAAGACCGCGTCCCAGATGACGCAACCGATTGCACGGATATTGCCCAACAACTTATCCTCGACGACAGGAACAAGGATATTAAGGTTACAGTGATGACGTCATGATGGGATAATAAGGATTGTAAGTATGATGGTGACGACGAAGTGATGAAAACGACGACGACGTGATGATGACGACGACGTGATGGTGATGATGAAGTAATGATGATGATGATGATGATGAAGTAATGATGATGATGATGATGACGACGTAATGATGACGTGATGATGATGATGACGTAATGATGACGACGTGATGATGATGATGATGATGAAATGACGACGGTGATGATGATCGTTTCAAGGTAATTTTAGGCGGGGGTCTGAAATACTTCCTACCGGACTCATACTCTAATTCCACCCCTCCGAAGGTTAACGGAACTAGAAAAGATGGGAAAAATCTCATCCAGGTGCTGATGATGATGGCGATTGAAAAAAAATTATGATATTAATAATTACAACAATAATAAATATAATAATTATAGATATAAATTCTAAATTTCTTGAATCTTCAAATGGAATGAAAAAGATAGAATGAAGAAAAATCTAAAATAGTCTGAATAATTATTAAAAAAGATAAAAGAAAAAAAAATATTATTTATTAATTACTAATAATATCGATATTAACTAAAATTATTTAATTAATCAATTAACTAATTAATTCAATTTAATTAATTTCTCAGTCATGGGAATCGTATCAAACCAATCAAAGTCGTTCGTACAAGTTGGTGTTCAATAAGCAGGCACTTGCAACTGTAGATGCCAAGAACACGGACTATCTATTGGGTATGTCCTGATAGTGATTGCTATTTATTATTATTATTATCATCATCATTATTATTATTGTTGTTGTTGTTATTATTATTATCATTGTTGTTGTTGTTGTTGTTATGATTGTTGTTATTGATAATGTCATTATTGTTATTGTTGTTATTGTTGTTGTTATTGTTGTTAAAATGCACACTTGACATACTTGACTGACGACATTGCAAACTTGATTGAGAATAAAAAGAACGAAAAGACAAAACAAAAAGCGAGAGAGAGAGAGATAGATAGATAGAGAGAGAGAGAGAGAGAGAGAGAGAGAGAGAGAGAGAGAGAGAGAGAGAGAGAGAGAGAGATAGATAGATAGAGAGAGAGAGAGAAAGAAAGAGAGAGAGAGATAAATTGAGAAAGAACATGAAAAGAATGAGGAAGAAAAAAAAACGAAGGAAAAAACACGCGCACACACACAAACACACAAACAAACACAAACACACAAACAAACACAAATACACAAACACACACGCAGGTCTCTTCAACGCTGATCATATGTCCTTCGATGCCGACAGATCCACAACCGACGAACCTTCCCTGGCGGATATGACCTCGAAAGCCATCGAGATTCTCAAGAAAAATGACAAAGGATACTTCCTATTTGTGGAAGGTTGTATAAATTAATTCTAGGCAAAACTGTGGTAATGACTAAGATGCCTGGTTCTTTTGTTGCAGTGACCTGGTTCAAATGCAAAGTGATTCTGTATAAAACAACTATTATAGATACGCACAAGGTTTGCATGAATACGCTTGAATCACACTTATACACGTGATAAATGTGCGTTCTTTTGTATCCGAACCCAGTCGTTGCACGTTGAAACGCAAGAATGAGGGCTTTTATCATTAAGCTATCTGGCCACCAATATGATGCAGAAGAAAAGATAATGTAGAACACAAATCCTGGAATGATAAATAAAATAAAAATTGCAAGCTAGCTGATGATGGGTAAGTAATAGACAAAAAACAAATCATATGACGATCGTCTATTAATTAACATAATTTATTCAGGCGGTAAAATAGACCACGCCCACCACAACACGAATGCTTACAGAGCCCTTATTGACACTCTGGCTTTTGAGAAAGCCATCGAATCGGCCTACAACAACACGAGCCCCGACGACACTCTGATCCTGGTAACCGCCGACCACTCCCACGTCTTCTCGTTTGGAGGGTACGGCCTTTTCGAAGAGTCCGTTCTCGGTTAGTCGGGCTGGAAGGTCAAGGCCGACAACATTTTTTGCGACTTTAAGATTACGACTTTACTTTCAGATTTTTTTGCCGACCGTGTGCAGGCCAACATGCAATCAGAGAAAAAAATTCGAAATAATATTTTATTCATTCGCTAGGTTACGCCTCAAGTGTTGAACCAAGTTTGGACGGCATGCCCTACCTTCAGATGGCCTACTCGAACGGACCCGGCTACAAAGTTCGTAGGAACCTTACTGGCAACAACAAGGATGGTTTTCGTACCAACTTAACCCTCGTCGATAGTAAGTGATGTGCCTGTGTGTGTGGGCGGGCATGTGCCTGTGTGTGTGGGCGGGCATGTGCCTGTGTGTGTGGGCTGGTGGGTATATAGGTCTTCGATTAAATATCAATTTAATGTACGTTAAAAATTTGTGTAGAAAAAAAAACTGAGAATAAACTTAAAATATGAGAAAAAGACGACGAAATTCTCACTAACCTCATCCCATTCACCACCGCAAAGCCATGGACAAGGATTTCGTGCAAGAGACAGCAGTCTGGTTGGCCTACGAAACTCACGGGGGGGAAGACGTGCCCGTGTATGCCTCGGGACCCTGGTCACACCTCTTTAGAAGCACCGAGGAACAGAATTATGTGGCACACGTTATGATGTATGCCTCCTGTGTTGGTGATTATACGACTAAGGAGCACTGCGTGGCCACGGCGAACAACGGGGCTGGCCAGACCCACAGCTTTTGGGCGGTCTCTGTGATAATTTTGTCTAATTTTTTCTACTTTTTGGAAAAATTTTAACCTGTGATATGATTTTTTTCAAATTGTTGCCCGCCTTTGTGCATTTTTGTAATTGTTTTTCGATGTGTAGTTTAATTGGGTGAGTGATGCTAATTTTATAATTAGTTCACCGTCTAGCTAATTTGATTTAATTACTTAATCATTTATCGATGTTGTTGATTTTATATTTTTAGCAAATTAATGAGCAACAGGCATGTTTTCATGTGTTTAGCATTAACATTTAGCCAACACAAACTGCTTAATAATACTTTTTTAATCAAGTTTTTTTTTACAACCATTTTACTGAATTTTTATAACTTTAACTCTTGAAAAAAAAATTGAAAAATCTCTTCTGAAATCGTGTTTAAAAAATTCGCCCCGCTATTTTTTAAAAATTCGTTTTATGTTTTTGGACGGAAATAGCACTATACTCTTTACGTGAAATACAAAAATTAAAATCTCTACTATTATCTTCCTCACCGTCGTCTTCATCATAATTTTTATCTCCATTATCTAACTCCTCATCGTTTTCCATCATCATCTGTGGTGGCATTATTGCGTCGTCACAATCACCATCTTCACCCGTTCAATTTCATCAGCATCGCCATTATCACCATTATCATCATCGTTATCATCATCATCATCATCGTTATCATCATCATCGTCATCGTTATCATCATCATCGTCATCTGCGTCATCAAAGAAGGCCTTCACACGTTCACGCACGTACTTGAAATTTATGAAAAATTTAAGAACCACACAACGCAGGCAACATGAAAGCGGCCACTCTTGTTCTAAAAATAACACCGACCGGCCATTCTAAGTAATAAAAATTCTCCTTATAAATATTCATAAGACGTAAAAAAATTGTTCACCTTGTGAATATTAATGAGATGCAAGGAACGCCCACTTTTTATTCATTCTTCGCTTCTTCTTTCCATCATTTTCATTTTCAATCTCATCAAGGTGGCTGCGATACGTTGCATCCAGTAAACAAACATGTATGTACACATGTATGTATGTTTGTATACTATACATGCATGTACGTTTGTATATATGCATGCATGTATGTATATATTTATATGATTGCATATATGTATGAATGTATATATACATAAATGCATGTATGAATTTCGATATTTGGAAAAACTTGGAGAAAATAAAAGTAGCAATTGTTCAAAATCTGACTCATATGGGTGCTTCTAAAATCTAGATATTTGTTTTGTTTGTGATGATTTGTAAGGTACAGTTTGAAGTCATAATTACCATACAGTTGTAAGGTACAGTTTGAAAACAACACTCGCGCAAAAATGTCCAACGTGAGTAGCAAGAATCGCCACTTCACTAGCAGCAACAATGGTGACTACATCAACAACCAACTGAACAACACTGTCAACAACTACAAAAAGAGGACGATGATTGACGAAGACCGCAAAGAATTACTAAAAAACATGGAGGTGACATCACTCACGAAAGATTCCTTCAAGTTAAAATGGCAAATTTCTCCAAACTTCGAGTCGTACATCGAGGGTTTTAGCGTAAATTACAGGGCCGACGGAAGCAGTGTTGTGCAGAACAGCGGCCCTCTGGACCTCCAAACCAGGAGTCTGGATATCGGTCAACTACATGAAAATACCGACTACGAAGTTTGTCTCTGGGTACTGCTGACCACAGCCATCCCAACGCTTGCTATGCACATCCCTATCGCAGTGGATTACGAGTCAAATAATTCCGGAGCTCTGGCCGCTTATAAAGGTATGGGTTAGTTTTGTAATATCCAATAAGCTTATGTTAATATTTAATTTAATTCTTTAAAAATATTTATTCATAGTTCAGCTTAATCTTTTTTATCAATATTAAAATATTTATCCCTATTAATGAATAAACCCAATAAAACATTCATTTACCTCAGATTCGAGAACCTACTCTCGCTGCGTATCCAGTTCAACGTACAAGTCCGGTCTGAACTTGATCGAAGCAAGTTCGCTTGGCGCGTTCATCTCACTAGCAATCGTCATACTCGTCGTCCTCCTCGCGAACATCACCACGAAAAAACGTCGCTACCATTTTGACCATGAAGACGATGAGAGGAGGGAGCAGTCGAGAGAAGTTGTCAAAAAATTCAGTCGGAAAAGTCTTTGGAGTAAATTAGTGAAAAATAGTAAAGTATTAAATAGCAATTGGTGGAAACACGACGACGGTAAGCTGATAAATAACGATAAAGACAATCCAAACGGAGAATCCACCGACGAAAATAGTCAGTACTGTGAAAATCATCATAAAAACGATGAGTTTTTTAGTAGAAATAACACAAGGTGCGCCAGGAAGAAAGGATTCAGAATCAAAAACCAACTACGATCGACCAGGCACGCGTTTGGGTTGACGTTCAAGAAAGGATTCTCCTATAAAAAGAAACCATTGCCTAGACCGAGTTTGACGGATGAACTTCCTTACGACAGTGGCTTCGATTTGCTCGCAGAAAATTATAAAAAGATGGCGAAACAGAAGCGATCTTCACTTCTATCTCTAATTAACAACGAGTCTCCTGAGTGTTTCATTGTAGCCACAGCACATCCTTGCACAGAAAATACTGAGAATAAATTGAATGTGAATCATGGCGGTAAGACTGAACTCCCGAATGAATTAAGTGACGAAAGTACAGTCAACCATGAGTTGGCATTTCTAATCCCGTTGATGAAAGGGAAGGATGGTTCCTTGGTAGTAAACGGTCAATCGACAGAAAATTTAAATATTTCCAGAGTCAATTTGACAGATTATCTGCCAGAAATTGAGGAACCTGACGAAGATGACTCCATAGATGAAGACGACAGTGACGATGAAAAGTGCAATGACGTCATCTATGACGAAGATCCAAACACACTTTACAATCTGCAACTTGAAGACTTAAATTACAATTTAGTGCCAGTGATACTGCAGCCCGATATTCAGTTATCCGTGGTTGACGTCATTCCTGTTTGCACGGACGAGGAAATGGAGAATAATTCCGAAAAAGTCGAGTATATCGGCGATACAGTTATCAGTGCGGCTGAACCTTTAACGCAACCAATGAAAAGAGCATCGTCTTGGGCTGATTAACGTTGAACTATCATTTTTTTCTTTACTAACTTACATATTTTTGAATAAAGACTATTTTTTGACTGTTTTTATGTGCTCACGGAAGCTTATGATTAAAAAATAAAATTTTTCACATCTCGGTGTCTTTTAGTCAAACCGTTTTTTTATTCATTTTTAGTTTGTTTTAAATTTATAAATAAATATTCGAATATTCCGCTCGTTTTATCGAATAAGGCGTCAAAAATTAAGAGTTAAGATTAAACAAAAATTTACCTAATTTGGATGAGATGGTAGAGAGCGTTCAAAATATTCCGGCAGGCGAGTTAGTGTCTGATTACGAGGTGATCCTGCCGTGGACCGTCATCGATACCTGCTGCACCCTCAAGCCACACGGATCTTCCTGTTTCGTGTCCGTCAACAAGCAGACCAACACCAGCAATCAGTTGTTCGTTTCCAAACTCGAAGATAATTCCATCAAAATTAGGATCAGCGGTTATTTTTCTATTTTATTCAAAATATTGTGATTTTTTAATGTGTCCAGTCTTGGTCTTCTTAGTTAATTAATTTAACTTAAAATTAAATAAAAATAATAGTAAATTCTAAAGTATTGATTATCTATTAATTTTTTTGAATTCATAAATCAATTTTTAAAAATTTCAGTGATAAATTTGAGTGAAGAATCCAGCACTGCTACTGATTCAAAATCTAGCAATGATAAAGATGGAGAAGAAGCATTGGATAAAAAGGTGGAATTAGCTGAAACAGTCGTTGGTGATGACGACGACAAAGATGTGAAAGAAAGCAAAGAGGGGCTTGCATCCGAATCCCAGAATGATGTCATTTCAGGAGAGCAAGACCAGTCGATGGAGGCATGTTTCAATGAGGGGTTATCCACAGTTATAATTGTTAAAAAAGTATCTCCAAATAAAAGTCAGATTTCTGAGGACGTTAGGCAAGCCAGCGAACAATCTTACAAAGAGCAAGGTGTCAATCATAATTCAACAAAACATTCACCTGCTCAGAGGTTCAAAGAGATGGAAAACCACGATGATGATGAAAACTATTCTCAATCAAACGACAAAAAAAAAGTCAGAAAATCATTTCTTAATAATGATACCAACAAGAGCTGCAATACAAAAAGTGACAATAAAGATTCAGTGACATGTGAATTGTGCTTCCAGTCATATGAATCGTATGCCCACCTCATAAGGCATGTCAGAAAGCAACATAGAGATTGCACATTTGTAAGGAACTACCTGGAAGAGATCACCCCTTTGCTGGTCACTCCATGTCCAGTCTGCAAGAAACAGTTTACAGCGAAATCGAGTCTCGATGCACATATCAAGGTCAGTCATGGCGGTCAGTTTGCCAGCGTGCCCAAATTACCTCTGCCCTCCATGTTAACTTCCTTATCACCAGCAAGTAACAGAGATCATCAGAGGTTGACATATGCAGGTAGGAAGAATGTGAAGAAAGTTAAGAATGGTAGCAGTAGCAGTAATAACAACAGCATCTTGGATAAGAATCCTTCTTACTCTAGCTATCCAGGCAGCAGCAACAGATCATCATTGTACTCGGCAGAAGATAGTGATGACAGCGAAGATGAATCAAGTGACGATGATGGAAAAGATAAATCGAAAGTAAAATGTGATGTGTGTCATGAGTCATTTGACTCGAGGCAGCAGGCGATCAAACATCAGGATCAGGTGCACCGACCCCAGCCCAACAAACTGTCAAAGGATAACTCGGGAGCCCAGAGAAGTAAAGAGGAGTTATTCAACTGCCACTACTGCAGTAAGAAGTTCAGAAGTAAAGAACTCGTTCTCAAGCACTGCCTATCCACTCATTTCAGATCTCTAGAAAATTCTGTCAAGAAAAAAAATTCAAAATTGAATGATGAAGATAATGATGAGCATAGTGATGATGACAATAGCGAAGAAGATGATGATGATGATAACGAAGATGATGATGAAACATTCGGCGTTAAAAGTAAAAAGGCTAAAAGGCAGCAGAGAGTTAGGAGAAAATCTGATAGGGCCAACTCGAAAGCAAACAAATCCAACAATTCTCTGGCCGACATGAACAACTCGAGCACATCCCTGAATAACTCAAGCAACACTAATTCGTCCCCAACGGGTGGGGGAGGGTTCGCCTGTGACATGTGTGGCGTCGAATTCAATAGGATGACACTGCTAGTTACGCACGCGAGGTACTGCAGGCAGAAGATTCCACAGATTAAAACTTATGCCAAGCGCTGAACTATCGATAGTTTTGTTTGTTTTTATTCGTTAACTGGTTGGTTAAACAATTATTGATTGATTGATTGGTGTTTTGACTGATTGCTTGGTCGATTGATTGGTTGGTCGATTGACTAACTGGCCTATTAGTGTAGTGTCAAAACATTTAATCTCATCATAATGATAGATTGAGACCATATCAGATTTTAAAAACTCATGAAAGTACATATGAATATGCGTGTATGTAAATATAAAATATATATATATATATATACGTGTGTGTTTGTGCGTGTGTGTGTGTTTGTTCCCGTATTCAATTTTATGAAATTTGACTAAATATGACAGAAACTAGACTTGAAATGTACGCACTGTACATTCGATATTTGTGTAAACATTTAGACACACACACACAAACTCACACACATACATATATCCTTCTTTGTTAGAGTCATTTAACATTTATATATATATACAAATACATATTTTAATTTCATACAAATACATAAACATATATATTTCGTATGCATGTATCTATAAAAATTCAACTGTTTGTGTGAGATTTTTATGATAATTTTCTATGTATATATAAAATGTATGTATTTGTTGGTTTGTGTGTGTGTGTTTGTGTGTGTTTTTGATTAATAAAATGTGTTGAATTGTTTCTTTTATTTAACTTTTTAATTGTGTTTATGATTTCGTTTGCGAATTATATTATTCTAATTTTCATTGTTGTTGCTAGTAACGTTGTTAGTTTCTTATTGAAATAATAATACCATGTAAACGAATGATGCGTGTGTTTGTGTGTATGTGTGTTTGTTTGTGTGTGTGCGTGTATGTGTGTATATATTTTTATTTGTGAAAATTTGAATTTTTTCTGGAAAAAAAAGAGTCAAAACGTTTTCCGTGTTGAATTACGCATAGGAATTGAACTATAGTATGAAATTATCAAAGAAATTTTGAATAATAACGATAATTTATGTATATAATTATACATATATAGTACAGTCTAACTACAGTCTATATATATATATCAAATTTTATTCAATCAATCCAAATTAATAATAATTAGGTAATGATTTATATATACACATATATATAGTTATATATTATCGTTATAGCACTTAGATCATTTTGCAGGCAGACAATCAACAACATCGTTGAACATGAATTAAACAAAAAAATATATATATATACATGTGTGTGTGTACGTGTAAATATGTCTGTGTGTGTACGTGCGTGTTTAACAATTTTGAAACTACTTCTCTAGAAAAATGTACGTATTTCGTTATAAGTGGAAGACAATAAAACAAAACGTAATTAGAATATAAATAGGAGAAATTTTTTTTAAAATATTCATGAAAAAATGTTTCTAAAGTTAATGAAAAAAAATTAAATTAATTAATTAAATGCATATTTGTTAATTGGACAGGGCGATTATCAAACATTAACTCCCACTTTACTAATTAATAGCTCAATTATTTTCACAATTTTACAGAAAATTAAAAAAAAGAAACTCATTTTTTCGTTAAACAAACGAAATTAAACTTCAAAAATTCTTCATTAATAAATAAAAATATTAGGTAAGTTCATAAAGTACACAAAAAGTCTTCTACCACAAATGCACACACACACACGTCACTAAAAAATTTTTTCTACAAATTGCATTTCTAGAAACGTTAAGGTACATTTCCGTAAAACAATGACGTCATAATAATTTTTTTGACTAAAAAATTCTTTTTTAATGAATAATTTTTATTAAATAATAATAATATAACAATTATAGTTAATAATTATGAAAGACATAATAAAATTTAATCATAATAAAATCCTGAAACCTACTAGTAAATGATTTTTCGCAAATCAGTTATTCATAAACAAGATTTTTTTACTTAAATGTATAAACAGTTATTTCTAAAAGACATAATCATTACAATATAAAAGTACTTAAAACATTACAAATAAACTCGTAAACGGACTAAACAAAATTGGTAATGTACATTTACAAATGAAAATTTCTCGTAATTGCATTCTTATCAAGGCTAGTAATTCATGCATCAACATAAATATAGGACAAAAAGGATGAGAAATCATTGAAATGTTCTTGTAACAAGCAGCAAACTTTACAAATTTCTACGTTGTTTTTCACCACAAAAACAACTTAACAAGATGAAGTTAAATTTAAACAAAAAAAATGTGAGAAATTCTAGAATGAACTGGCTTAAATTAACATTATCAATAGGCTGTCTCTAAGAGCCAGGACCTGATAATATGAGGTAGTGGTAACAATTCAATGTGATCCAATCTAACTCTCTGTCTCAACACAAACCTGCACATGTGCTGAAGGGTTGAAATTTGACTGAACCTCGAAACTGGCCTCATGAGACATACAGGGAATGTTCTGGAATTTGCATTTGATCTAACCCTAGAATAACAAAACACTCCATTCTGTTTGGAATCAGACATGGAATTCTCAATCAGCTCTACGACAGATTTGAATCCAACTTCATTTACATTCACATCTCTGACATTCTGAACATCGTGCAACTCATCAACATCCAGGCCAACAGTTCCAGGCAGAACCCTTGCATAAAACGAAAACATGCCGTTGTAGTGCTCGATGCGAGTGTGCAGTGTCTGACCGAATGATCTGAAACTGAGACTGAGGAGGTGTCGATCATCTGAACTGTCCCTAACCAGGAAGGAGCCATCGGCCAGTTTGGAGAGTTTGGCCTCTGCTGCTTTCTTCGAGAGGGGACCCCAGTACCAACCATAAGATGAAAGTTTCATTAGTTCATTAGTCAGACTCCAACCCGGTGTGGCCAGTTGTTTCACCTGGTCATAATATGGAAGGATGAGGTCATTACTGCTGGTTTTGTCTGTGGTAGCAGTGTTCTCTGCAGGTGAGGCAGTATCATTTTTTTGTGTTCTGCTATTAGGATGCAAATTTTTATTCAACTTTGAGCTTTTGGTGGTTTTTTTTCTATTGAATGTTCTAAAATCTGCTCCTAACTCTAAACTATCTAGACTCAAGTTATCAAAATTTTGATCGAATTCTGGAGGAGAGACATGACCATAACCTGATGAAGGTTCATAACCAGAGTGTGATGATTTAGTTAGCTTGTAAAGTGAAGATTGATCCTGTCTTGAAGTAACTGCAAGATTGTGAATTCTGAATGAATCACTACTTCTGGTGGAAAAGTATAATAATTCACAATCATTTCCAGATTTTTTATGATTATTTTTCTTTAAATGGTATGGTGTTGTGTTTATTCTGCCTGTGTGGTGTGAAGTTTCTGGAAGTAGAACATTTGAATTGCTGCCCTGAGAGTTTGAGTTTGTGGTACATTCATCTTTAAATTGAACATCTCTATCTTCAATAAGCTCACAAACATTTTCAAAATTATCATTCAAGATATCATTTTTTTGTTTGCAACAAGCTTTATCCCTTTTGCAAGTTGATATGTTGTTTGGTTTATTTCCTCTGTCCATCCTCCAACTTTTTGGCAGACTTTTATGAAATTTTTCAGACCTGACTATACTTTCTATATTGTTGTGATGTCTGTCAGCTGTTTCTAAATCATTTAGATTAGTTTTTGATCTAAATTTTTCTGATTTTGTCATTGATAATAATTTGTTCTTAAATGCCTTCACAAAGTTGCTTCTAGATTTTTTTTGCTGAGCCTGAAAAAATTTAAAATAAATTGGAACTTTGGTTTTAATAAAAAATCATTAATAAATGTAGGGAGTGTAATTAAATTTTAAATGTTATAAATGAGATATATTGGATTTAGATATAAAAAAAACTAAAAATCTGGACTGAAAATGAATCTCACGTCGGCCAGAGCACAAGCACCTCCACCCTCCAGACATCCTGCTCCATCTTGACTGCAGCAGCAGTAGCAACATTTGCTACCTTTTTCCCCACAAGATGATGATGTGTAGTTAGTAGTTAGCGTACAACAACGAGAATTACATTGAAAATCAGTAACATGATATCTTTCAGCATTAGTTTTTTTATTATTAGTGCAGTTTAAAGTACAATTAGGCAAATTAGGAACAGCATTTTTTGTTTTTACAGTGCAACAAGTACTTCTACTTCGTCTGGCAGATTTTTCGGTGCAATTAGTTTTGCTCTTGTAAAATTGACTAGTTCGATTAGATGACATTTTAAATTTATTATTTTTAATGGATGAAAATATGACTAGCTCAAACTGTGTAAAGACATTTTTTTTAATTTTTACACCCCGTCATCTGTTCGATTGAAAAATTTCTCATGTTGATAAATCTAAACGCCACAACATATGGGCCTTTAATTTTTCTTTTTTTCTAATCCTTATACTCTATGGTTTAGAAACAATTGCATGACATATATACTTATCAGATCATTTCTAATTACTCTATCTATTTTTTGTAAAATAAACCTAATGGAAGATTAAAAAAATAATTTTAATGTTTCTCTACTTGCCTATAGTCAGCAAACTTTCGTTCAACAAATGTCCCATAACCATGGATTGCATATATATATATATAATTTATATTTATATATATTAATGTCTTTAGCCCTGACTTAACCAACTCACAATTATTACCAAATATCATTATAAACCTAAAATTATTTATTGTTTCCTAAATATATATAATTTACCATACCTTTTATTTTTCTATAATAGCTTAAAAACGAACGTTTGCTAGCTTTTCCCAAGTGTTTCATTATAAATTTACAGATGGATGAATGTAGCATAAAGTTTAGAAGAAAGATAACTTCAAATGAAAAAGTCATTTCATTAGATTTTGATGATCGTTACAGATGAATTTACTAGTTTATTTTACAAATAAGTACATACATATATTCACGGCGTTCAGTTTATTTTAGCTGAAAAACTATGACAATCATTCTCCACAATTATTGCTAAACATTTAGATAGCATTGAAAATTGTTATTTACGCGTTGTTATTAGACAATTCTAATGATTTACATTCACATTCGAAAGACATGATGACTCACACAGACGACTCTACGCAATGAACTTATACCCCAAATACCTAAAACTACTTTTGTATAATATACACACGGTAAAACACATGTTTACCACCAACCATGCATGTTATAGTGTACCAAGTTTATACTTTAATATTAATATATTTATATGTGTGTGTGTGTGTTTGGTGTGTGTGTGTGTGTGTATGTGTGTGTGTTTTAGCACTACGACAATATTGTATGCTATGTGCGTATATAAATTTATTCTTACTTCATATACTACAGAGAAAAAACACATAACGCAAGTAGCCATATATATTTGTGTCAGCATTTCTCACATTTTTTTTCTCTCTTTCTTTCTCTCTCTCTTTTTCTCTCTTTCTCTCTCTTCCTTGTTCTATACGCACTAGCACAACATAAACCTTATTTACCACATGTATTTAGGCAGTTCTGTGTATTTGTATAAAACTTATAATATATTATATATATATATATATATACACACATATATACGCACACATGTATATATATTATGAATATATAATGGAATGGAAAGAGCCGTTAAAACTTGCGTGTTTCAGGACACCTTGTATTGATCGAGGTTCGTGAGATATTCGTAGCACCGTTCGTCTTATTTAAAGAGATACTGCCAGTTAGTTGATTAAGTTTATAGTGAATTATCGAATCTATTTAAAAAAATGGTTTACATTTTGAGTTTTTATCCTTTCAGAATAAAAAAGGCACGAAAATGGCAAGTCGAGATGATTTTATTCAATTGTTCAAACTGGCCGACAAAGATAACAGCGGCCACCTAACTCTGAACGAACTGTTCGACGAAATGAGGAAGTTGGGCTACAGAGGAACTGATGACGTACTTAAAGTTAGTGACGTCATTTTTTCAAACATTCGATTACAAATGGGCTGACAATCCGGGTCTGTTTTTATTAATTTCTCGCACTTCTAAATATTTTCAAAATCATTCATAAATTAATGCCATTCAATGCTAAAATTATTCCGTTAAATAATATTAAAAATTCAATCTGCTGACATTTATTTATTAAACATTTAATTACTAAACGTTTAATAAATAAATTCCAGAGTTACTTTGCTACTGCCGACACCTCAAAAGACAAAAAGTTGAACCTGGAAGAGTTCATAACCTCCATGTCCAAGGCACCACCCCATGTCCACAGGTTAAGATTTTCACGGTTACATACAAACGTACGTACACACACACATACACACCACCACACACACACACGTGCATGTGTGTATATAAACACACCAGCACAGGCATAACATGTCATAGAGCTTAGAGGTAACTTAGTAAATGAAATTGCATCATTCTAACCTCGCCAACCAAGTTACTCGGTCTTTTTGTTTAAAATATCTTTTTTTTATCTCTCTCTCTCTCTCTCTCTCTCTCTCTCTCTCTCTCTCAAACTATCTCTTTCTCTCTCATTAAACTCAAGAGTTGCACTGATGAGAAGAGTGTTTGCGAAGTTCGACAAGAACGGGAATGGGACACTGGACAAGAAGGAGCTGCAGAATGCAACCGCCATGCTGGGCGACAAATTCAACGACGAGGACACGGCCATACTCATGTCAATCATTGATAAGGTCAAGGTCCTTTGGTTGTAACATTTACATTTAATTATAATAATTTATATATATATATATATATATATATATATATATATATGAATAATTTATATGTAAACTAATAATAATTACGATATTAATTATAATTATTACGATAATGCTGATGCTTAGATGGTTTAAACTACCGTTGAACTTGCTTGTTAGTTTTTAAAAAAAATCTTACAGGATAACTCAGACACGGTTGATACAGAAGAGTTCATACAGGCTTTCATTGAAATGAGGAAATAAATTTTGGAAATCATTCATCCATAAAAATAATAAAGGAATGATTGAATGAATGAACGAAAGAACGAACGAACGACGGAAAGAAAGAAGGAATAAATGAAAGAACAAACAAATGAATGAACGAATTGATGAATGAATAGATATATTGATGAATGAATGAATAAATAAATGAAAGAATGAATGAATGATGAATGAATGATGAATAAATGAATGAATGGATAGATAGATGGTCGGTTGGATGTATGCATAAATAGACAGATGGATCGACGGATGAACGAATGAATGAATGAACAAATGGATGCATGAATGGATGAATGAATGAATTAATAAATATCCAGTCTAAATTCTATTTATTAGGCACCATACATTCATATTTAATTCCTACCTTTAATCAACGTCACAGCTTTTATTTGCACTTATACAATGCTTGTTGATTCCTACTATTACTATCCATGCTACTTTTATTATTACTACTATTATGTAATAATGGTTATCATTGTTTTTATTTATTCTTGTTTTTGTAGGTTAACGATAATGACGTCATTGCATTACAATAACATAATTGTCTTCGATGTTTTTGTTTTGACTTCTATGTAAACAATTAATCACGTATATAGCTACCTATGTTGTTATTATACACTGCTAATATTTTGTATACAAACGCACACACACACACACACACACACCTACATACATACACACACACACACATACATACACACACACACACACACACACACACATACATACATACATACATACATACATACATACATACATACATACATACATACATACACTCAAATTATGTCATGCCTGAATGACCAACATTATTATCGTTATCGTCGTCGTCGTCATCTTACTGTTTGCCATTGCTCGTTATTTATTTGTATTATTTCTACCCATTGTGAAGATGTTACAAAAGTTTGTCTTTTTGTTTTAGTCATTTATCTTTATATCTTCATTTTTTTCATAGATCTGTTGTTTCTAAATCTCTATTTGTTTTCAAAATCTTGCTTTGAGTTTTATTAGTTTTTAATAAGTAAAAATATATATAATAACTTTTATTTTTTTAATGTCGCATTCTGTATAACATGAATGAGATGGGATAAATTTCTTACACAGTAAAGTTCTTACAAGAAAGCCGTGTTATACATTTCATCAGTAAATATTATTCATACTTATTTACCTTATAGCGTTATGGCGTCTTATTTCTTTTTATACTTCATCATCATGAAAGTACATATGAACTCCTCAAATGATATCTTGTTGTTTCCATCCTAAATAATTATAGTTGTGCGTGTGTTGTGCGTGTGTGCGTGCGTGTGTGTGTGTGTGTCGTAAATGTGTGTTTCTGTCACCTCAACCACACACACACACACACTCACACATACAAACACACAACACACACACAACACACACATACATACATACACACAAGTAGTTTATAGTTACGACAAAAATTGAAATATACCTTGTCGAATTTCTTCATAAGTAGATCGAGTTCAACTACGGTTACACGTTCACCTAGGCAGCCCAAAACTTTTTCCATTTCCTTCTTATCTAACATGCCGTCCTTGTTCAAGTCGAGCTGGTAGAATCGTCTTCGTAATTCCGCTGCTCTGATTAATTATTTTTTAAGATAATTATTATAATTTTTAGTTATAATTAAATATGAATAATAAATAATTAAATATGAATAATTGTTGTAATATAAGTTATAATGGCGCGTCCAATACGTCTTAACACTCAATGCAATGAACACTTGATTTCGTATCGATGAGAAATCTGCGTCTCGCTATTTTTAATTATTTAGAAACGATATTCGATACGAAACGATATACCGGTTCTATCGATAATGTTTAAATTTACTCGTGTAAGATGTGTGGAGCCTTGTGCATGGCTTCTAGGAATTCATTTTTCGTCAACTTTTTGTCGTCTCTCTGGGAAAATTTTTCAAGATGGTCCTGGATAGGAATTGATAAAAATAAGCTATCAACAAACTAAAATCATAATCTAAAATAAATAAATGAAAATCAACTATGAATAAATGTGATTAAAGTGTGAACGATTGTTCCAGAAAATTGAATAACAATGAATGGATAATAATATCACACAAGAACATATAATATAGGTACATACAATACAAGAACACGATGTTTACGATGTTCTGTACAATTTATTAGGGGGAAGCCTTGTGAAGACCCTATTTCTTGGGCAGACTCCGAGACAACAGGTCCACTTGCTGCCTCTAAATTGGGCCCTGTTTAAAAGTAGTTCTATGTTATACTAACTTTAAACTTAAGCTCTTCGTCTTTGTAGCCAAATTTTTTCATTTGCTCGTAAAGTTCTTCAAATGTAAGGAAACCGTCCTTATTTTTGTCAGCTTGCATAAAAATTTCTGTGTATATGAATTGGTCATCCATGTTTTATCAGTATCACTTATCATTCGTTTTTTATTAATACTATTATCTGATTTTATTCACGTGGCTGTTAGGGCAATTTAGAATTTTGTTTTATAGCACATAGCGGCCGTTTCAATGTTTGCACATTTTTTAAAAAATATATTGTTGTTTTGTCTCTAACATTGATAAACATTTCAATCATAATGTATACGTAGCAAAGAAATTGATTAAAGTAAATTAAGCAAGTTGTTTTTTTCCTTCTCAATTAATTATTATTTTTTATTTCATTTAGTTAATTAACATTAATTATTTAACTTTCGGCTTCTCTTTTCAGTATATCGTATTCGAAGAATGCCGAGATGAATTCTTCAATCTCAACCACGTTGTTCTCGTTCTAAGAAAAGAAAGAAAAATGGTTAATTTGGTAAATATTTTTAGATTTATGGTTTCACACCATAATAGCCTACCTTCAATAATAATATGCAAATGCCTTTAAATTACTTTAATAATTCTGATAAAATGCACACATTGAAAAACCTATCACCATTTAACATAAATGGAAAAAACTAGTTGAAAATGCATAATTGGAATTGGCGGAAAGATGATGTCTTGGATAAAGAAAACTAAAAACATGCACATATATGACCTTGTCCATAAGCAGCATAAGTTTGTCAATTTCGCCAGCCGACAACTTGCCGCCCATGACACTCGAAGCTTCTCTCAGTTCATTCTTCGTCAAAACGCCATCTCTGTCGCTGTCCAATTTGTTGAAAACTCTTCTCATCATTGCAATCCTGGCGTTTGTGGGAAGTTTTATTCGTTGAAGTTGGTCTGCTATTTTGTAATTTTATGACGTGGAAATTAATGCCTACACTGTTATAAGAATGATATCCAAATTAAGTGTAGTTTTTATCTAATGATATTTATGAAGAGTTGTGTTAAAAATTATTTTATTAATTAAAGAGAATATTAACAAATCATTAAATTGTCAATTTGTTGAGAATTGAAAAGAAAAATATAAAAAAATTAAAAACTTGTGAACTACTGGAGGCCCCTTTGCCATGAAATCCAGGTAAGCCTGCATGTCCAACTTCTTATCGTCAGGCAGACCACTTCTTTCGAAACAATCCTTAGCAAGAAATTTAATTTGACTTCAAAAACTTTACGGATTATGAAGAGTTTAGCTTACCAAAATTAACTTTAAAATCAAGAAACATGTACATATGCGTAGAAATCATAGATATAATAATTACAGGGGTGGGCAAACTTTGCTGAGAGCAGCATTGAGAACTATTTTACATTTGAAGGATCGCATATATACCTAAATAGCAAATTTTTTCGATCTGGGAGAGAATTTTTTAATATTTTGGTCATAACGTCTGGCTGACGAACTTTTTTTGGCGAACAAGGCCTTGCGGGCCGCATGGGGCCGTGTTTTGCCCACCCCTAGATTATTGCATTATATTCACTTATAAAACATTTATTGATAGCAGCACGTTTAAAATAGCAATTTAAATTCATCCAAACTAAGTTAGAGCTAAGAAAATTAGGCTTATTAAAGTCAGAAAAGTAAATTATACAAGTTTCTATAAAAATTAATCACTAATTATAAGGACAGACCGACGATCCAAAACATTTATAGCCATAATTTTTAAGAGTGAGTAGAAGTTCTTTTATAGTTATAAAGCCCAATTTCTTCTTATCGATATCCTGAAAGATTAGTTTAAAATCGTCGTCCGTACCAGCCATAATGGAGGGTAATGATTTTAAATTATTATTTAAACTATTAATTCAGTTTATTATTTTGATACCTTGAGTTAATTATGAATTGAGATATCGTATCGTTTGGATGTTTCTAATTATGATGTTTAAGATATTGCTAGTTTGGTGTAAAATGCTCTGTTTACGAAATAATAATAATAATGATGATGACAAAACGCCAGAAAATAATTTTTTATTTATCATTAAATCATATTATTTATCTATTGAAATAATTAAACGAAACCAATTCGCCGACATATTAATTTTAAAATTTTATTTTCGCACCGTACATCTCTGAAAATATTTGAAACATTTCATCAACGAACAGAGGTAACAACCTATATAAACAAAACAAACACGTACACAAACACTTACACACCCACATACACAGACATACAAACACATGCAAACACACAGAAAAAATTATATATATTTCCTCGTCATATGGCCAATTAAACTTTGAAAAATTCGCATATATAAACGAAAATATAGAGATAAAATGATTTAGGCAATTGAGACAATCGAAGAAATAAAAGAAAATGGCTATGTCTGAATAAAGACTATATGTACACACGCACACACACACACACACACAGACACACACATACATATAAGTTTATGCTAAGACGTAACATTATAATTAATAACTAATAAGAAAATGATATTCAACACTAACAATATATATATATATATATATTCATTTATTTATATCTACACACACACACACACATACACGCAGACAGACAAACGAGTGTACGTACATATAAGCTACATATATATCGTTTGTTGCAAGTGTATTGTGCTACTTTTATTTATTTACTTGTTAATTAATTAAAATTGTATTTAAATTCACATACATGAATATACGTACATACAAACACACACATAGTATACATTACATACTATTGTATATACATACACATATACACACACAAACATCCATTTGCACATATAAAAACAATTTTCACCATAAACAACCCTAGCCCATAATAATATAAACTTGGAAGAAAAAAAAATTCTAATAACTTTAAAAATAAAATTGAACGAAAAATATGACGTCACATATTTGAAAATAAACAATCAATTGTTTCGTGTCTATGTTGACGTAACTTTCTCGCGAGCACACATATCTATTGCGTCTTGTTGTATAAATGATCTTTCGTTCTTTGGATGTAGTCACCTACAATTCCTACGTTGTAATTCACGTTATAGTTTATTTATTTAGCCTTTTTGTTGATTTGAATTGTCAAAACCACACAAAGAAATTACTGATCAGAACATTATTATTCTAAATATTATCGGCGAATAACAATCATAATAAATAAATAACAAAAATTATATATACCAGTAAATAAATAATAATAATAATCATGAAATTATTAACAAATCAATTTAAAATCTTAAACATTCTGCTAAATAATAACATGAATAATAATAATAATAAGACCACTAATAACAACGACAACAAAATAAACAATTATATCAACAAACAGTAATAATAATCATTAATGAAACTTACTCGTCATAGTGTATTTACATTATTCATTAAACATAAACATAAATACACAAGTGTGTGTGGAGAGAGACAGATAGATAGAAAGAGAGAGAGATAGAGATAGAGAGAGAGAGAGAGAGAGAGAGAGAGAGAGAGAGAGAGAGAGAGAGAGAGAGAGAGAAAGAAAGAAAGAAACGTACATACAACAAACGAAAAAACATTAATATACGTACAAACGAACATGCAAGCGTTAATGGCATCATAACATACTATCATTTATTCATACTAATCTACGGTTACATCAATAAAAATGAATGAATGACAATAATAAGACAAATCTGTTCAACAATCAATCAACAATTCAAAATACAGTAAACCAAACTGACCAACTAAACAATCAATCAACTAATCAAATAATTAATTAATCAATCAATCAACCCACCAACCGACCAACTGTTATATAGATTTACTAATAATACATCAATCACTCGACTAAACCAATCGCCCAACTCAATCAATCAATCATTCAATCAATTAGAAGAATAGCGATCCCATTCCTTCGCTCTGCTCTTTAACGAATATTTCAAAGTACTGGTAGATGATGGTGACAGCTAGAAGGATACCCGTGCCACTACCGATAGCACCTGGGGGGATGGGCGGTTGGTTGGATGAAAGAATGAATGAACGAACGAATAAATGAAAACATTAGATAGGTGGATGAACCAGGAGATGGATGGATAAAGAGATGGATGGATAGATAGTTAGATAGACATATTTAAATAGTAAGATAAATGCGTGATTAACAATTTAGTTTGGCGAGTAGAAAAATTGATACATATATATAATGAGTTAGATAGATAGATAAACATTTAAAAATAAAAAATTCAAACCGACACTAACCCATAAAATCTGCCATAACAGACAGTGCGCCGATGCACAGGCCACCAAACGCAGCAGCGGTAGGGATGTACCTAGGTCGAGTAAATTAATCAACTGTCAATTTACACGCACACATACAATGGTTGAAGCAGAACAGTATATACAACTAGGCGTGTTAGTAAGCAAACACACACGTAAGTACAAAAAGTCAGTAAGTGTCAAAGGTACATTTTATAAAGGTTAGCCCCACCTGTTAAGCTCGTGAATCATGGATGCTTCCCTGTGACCTCTCATTATCATCTGCTGGTCTTTCAATTGTTTGGCCACCTGTTGGTCAACAGAGAGAGATTAAATTAAATTATTGTAGTAGTAACATAAAAGCAGTCAGGCAAGCAGCAACAAGCGCACAACAACACAGACTCACGTCTTTAGCACTGGAACCGGATACATCAATCCATGTCTTGGAGAAGAAGGCGCAAGAGCCCAGCATGAATGCAATGTAGAGTATGGCGTGCAGAGGGTCTTCCAGTACGTGCTGCAACGTTTCAGGGGGTGACAAGTAGTAGCACAAACCTCCGATAGGGTAGCTACGGGCTGGTCCACCACCCCCGACGTCCTATGTGGAATTATTTAAAATTTTGCTCTTTAGACAAAGGTTCTAAAGTATTTACACACAATGAAAAAAATTGTAATAAGTAAAAATAGAGGAATTAAAAAAATACCCACCCCCCAAACGCCCAACAAGTTGATGATGAAGTTACCACTGAACTTTGCAGAGAGCATCTGAAGAATAAAATGATAATAATAAACTAAAACAATAACTAGGAGTGATGTATACAGTACACCATCAAGTTTCTCCAATAAAGTACATGATTCACATTCAACTTTCTATTCGCTGAACTATCACCAATTCATTTAAATATCTATCTCTCTTATCTCTCCTCTCCCACAACAAACTTGAGAAATGATGTAAAGATTAGAGACAAGAGCACTCTGAAGAATGATAGGTATGTTGGATGTGTAGAACAACTTGATTGGATAGCTACTGTACTGCCCTCTGTAACGAGATGATTTGATTGGTAGATCCACTCGGAAGCCCTGTGCAGTGGGAGGAGTCAAGAATCAGAATGGCAGTATAAATATAGAGTGTTAAATTTAGGTTATGATCAAAGTGTAGTCAAATAAAAAATTGCTATTAGGCAGAAAGCAGAACAAACCTGGAAATATATAACGACACCAAACACGAAAACAGTAGCCAGTAGATTCATCAAGTTCGGAAGGTTCTGCCTGTAGAATGCCTCCCTCAACCCCCTCACCTTGTCCTGACGGGTGGCCAACAAATGGAACAGGGCAATAACCGCACCTTCAAATTCCGTGCCTGTATTATTGTGATAGTGTAAATGTGTATGTGTGTGTATGCATATGTGATTGTATAAACGTGCATGTCTACAATTAACTGCATAAATGTGCGAGTGTTTTGTGCATGTGATGATGAACTAATAAATGGTGAGCTTAAAATAGTGCAATGAGTGTTGCAGTACTGTTGAACAACTTGATCACTCAAAAAATTCTCATAACTGGTACAAATTTTTGAATTTTCCCACACTGTAAAAGGAATTGAATCAGAGCAAAGCATACAACAAACCTCTGCCAGTGTTAACAGTGGTTGGACTGAATGCCTTCCAGACAATCGTCTCACAAATATTTGTGGCAATGAACAGGGAGATACCGGAGCCAAGGCCATAACCTTTCTGTAAGAGTTCATCCAACAGTAGGACAATGACGCCGGCCACGAATAACTGGATGATGATGATTAGGCAGACCCCGGCCCCAATGTCGGATGGCGCTCCATACATTCCCGTCATCACGTACACTATGGCCTGGCCGACCGTTATAACCATGCCAAATACTGAGAAGTTGATAGTATTTACATGATTAAATAATTCTAATGTATTTGGAAAAAATACATAAAATTAGAAACCTAAAAATTGAATTTCTTAGCAAATAAACAAAATTAACAATGTAATAATACAAAAAAGAAATGAATCTTACAAGCAAACAAAGAGTGGTAAAATCAAAGATTGATGCAAATAAACAAAAAATGAAACCAACATTTCTGAGCCCCATTGAACAGTGCTCTATCCTTTGGGGTGTCACCAACTTCAATGATCTTCACACCAGCCAAGAGCTGCATAATGAGACCAGATGTGACAATCGGTGAAATACCTAACTCCATTAGTGTTCCTAACATTAGGGAAAGAAAGTCAACAAGTTGGGTTAATTGTTATCAAAATAAGTTATCTAATTTAAGAAAAAAATATGAGAAAAGCTTGCCTCTATTTGAGGCCAGAATGACTCTCATCCAGTAGAATGGATCAGCGGAGTCTGAAGACATGATACCAAAGAGAGGGATCTATTTTCGAAATTTTCAAGGTAAATGTTAAAACAAATAAATAAATAATAAAACCTTAACCCTCATTTATATATAATAACCAATCCTTATTTATTAAATATTTAATAATTATTCTAACATTTACTTTTATAAATGTAACTAAACCGTATTTATCATGAACATATACATACACACATACATACACAAACACATACATATACAAATACTAACTTGACAGCAGACAAGGAAAATGAAAAGGGTAATGGCTGTCCATAATACCTTCTCTCGAAATTGAATCTTTCAAGTTAAAAAAAAGGTATTTAACAAAATCCAGAAAACATACATTTACAAATTAGGCAGAATTTTTAATAGCTGGACTACACACAAACACATAAGACCATGATCATTAAAACTAACTTTACGCTCTGGCTTTTGTACTTCAGGTAGTACTGCACAAAACGGCTTCACAAACTCCAGAAACTTGACTTGAAAAAATAAAAATTGTTGAAACTTATTCAGAATAAAACAATCAAGACATTAAAAAATTTTTTTTTTGGAAATTTAATTTATTTCAAATTATATTTCAATTGTTAATCTATCAACATGAACAACAAATGTTGACGTGGAACCAGCTGGGCTTATGCAATGCTACGAAAATCACAAATTTAGGTGACAAAAATAACTTTTTTTTGTAAATCAGACAATTAACTAACTTCCCATCTTAATCCAAAAACCGTGAGTCCGTAAATATAATTAATTTTAATCGCAGACCATTTAATTTAAAGAAAACAAACTACAATGGCTGACGGAATGAATGAAAGATCAAGAAACGGAAGTGGATAAGACACGTATACAATCAGGGATGGATGAATTTTTTGTGTACACTTGAAAACATATCTGGTACTACTAAGTACTCAATAATGTCGATACTATAAACATGGGGTATATTTTTTTCTATTTATTTCATTGAAATTTAAATAACAGTAATGTTTTAAACTATTAATAATGCGCCTGTACGTTATAGTATTTATTGCAAAATAATATTTTTAATATATTTATTATATAATATGAAAAGTACTGAGAAAAATCTCCATTTACAGTTAGGCATTTGGCTATGGTTTACATATAGAATTAATTATATGTGCTATTTATAGATATAATAGTAGTAAATTGAATATTTATTTCCATTTGATTCATTTGGTGAACTTTAAACTGTTAAACTTAAGTTGCAATTGCTTGTGTGTGTGTGAAACATCACATGTGGTTCATATGTAAATTAATTAAGCTAATTTACTTTTTTCTTGCAGTATGATTCGTTTAATGTACTTTATTTTATTGACAGAATGTTAAATTTATGAATTCAGTTATTCAACTTTTTGAAAGATGATGATCAGAACTTTTGGAAAAAAAATTGTGGGAAGGTGCTGTGCAAAAGTTTCAAACAGGAGATCTTGTTCTGATTATCAACGTTCAGTAAGGTCGTCATCAAGTTATTCTTTCAGTAAAACAAATCAAAACGATGATAATAAGAGAACCAAGACACAAGTGTACTGTAAAATTGCTGTTTGCCTTGCTGCAGCTGGTGCAACAGGTGGAAAATTTCAAGTTTTTTAATCTTTTTAAAAAAACTGTTTTGGTATTTTTAAATAATTTTATTTGCAGCTATATTATTTGGTTGAATAATTGAGTAATTCATTCAATTATCAGTGCTACTTTCAATTATTTATAGGTTTCTACTGTTGGAAGAAATTTTTATCAAACTCTAATCATGTTACTAGTCTAGAAAAATTAGCAGAGGACCTACCTTTTGAGGCAGGTGCAAGGAGGCCAGACCTGCCGAATTACAAATATGATGAGGTTGCTGAGCACACCTCCGAGGAAACTGGCATATGGGTTATCTTCAAGGAAGGTGTGTATGACATAACCAAGTTCATCAAACAGCATCCTGGTGGAGATGAAAAGATTAGCATGGCGATTGGTGGCTCTGTGGAACCTTTTTGGGACCTTTACAGTATTCATTTGAATAAACATGTTTTTGAGATTTTGGAATCTCTGAGGATTGGAAATGTTCACCCTGAAGAAGAGATGCAAGTTTTTAAGTCAGGTGATCATTATGCACATGAGCCAAAAAGACATCCAGCTTTGAAAGTTAATTCTCAAAAACCATTTAATGCCGAAACACCACTGCAAATATTGGTTGAAAGTTTTTATACACCAAATGAATTATTTTTTGTACGAAATCATCTGCCAGTCCCTAAAAAATCAAAATTAGAAGATGACTTTCAAATAACAGGCATCGGTCTTGATTCATCAATTTCACTGACAATGTCTGAGTTGAAAATGAAATACAAGCCCCACGAAATCACCACTTCAGTCATGTGTGCAGGTAACAGAAGATCAGCCATGCATGAAACAAAACCAGTGAAGGGTCTGCAGTGGAGTGCTGGAGCTGTCAGCACTGCTAAATGGAAAGGAATCAAACTTTCTGATCTTCTTAAGGACCTAGGCATTACAGAGGACAGCAAGGCATGCCATATCATCTTTCAAGGAGCTGACACAGACATAGAATCCAAACCGTATGAGGTGTCCATACCATTAGAAATTGCACTGGACCCAAATAGAGAAGTTCTACTTGCATTCGAAATGAATGGCAAAGAGATTCCACTAGATCATGGTTATCCAATTCGGGTGATTGTTCCTGGTGTCATAGGTGCCAGACAGGTAAAGTGGTTGAAGAAAATCATTGTCAGTGAGAAGGAGAGTGATTCATTATGGCAGCAGAAAGACTACAAAACGTTCAACCCGTCTTTAAACATAGAAACATGTGACACAGGAAAAGCAATGGCTGTTCTGGAATTCCCCGTTCAGTCTGCCATATGCCAACCAGCCAATGGATCTGTTTTAAAATTAGAAAATAAAAAAAGTTTAGAAGTAAAAGGCTATGCTCTAAGTGGTGCTGGTAAGAAAATTTTGAGAGTTGATGTTTCAGTTGATGGTGGACAGTCTTGGATGGAAGCTGATCTTTATACAGAAACCAAAACCCAGATGAACAGAGAATGGGCATGGACGCTGTGGAAGTTAGATGTACCTTTGTCAGATGACATGTTAAGAAAACAAATTGATATCACCTGCAAAGCCACTGATTCTGCCCACAATACACAACCGGAAAGTGACCTGGGAATATGGAATGCTAGAGGACTACTTGAAAATAAATGGCCAAAAATTTCTGTAAAATTTGAGTAATTTTTTTCATGCTTTTTTGGTTTTTACATGATTTAAAATTTTGTTTTACATTGCTGTGAATATTTTATTTACTGGTCAATGAATTTATACACACGGTGACTTATTAAGTAAAATTTATAAAGAACACACCTATTTGATAACTATTTTGTTTAGTTTTACATTTACAACACAGACACAGACAAATTTATTAATTTGTTTTGGCTTATATTCACCATTTAAATTTTAAATTAAGAAAAAAATATCAAACTGATATAAAATAAAATGTAGTTATTTAGAATATTTACAAAAGAAAATAATATTATTGAATCGACTGGTCCAATGAAATTGAAACGATGTGGTGTCCTGGGATCATGGCAAGTCCTAAAATGCGGGGTTCTTCCTCTTCTTCACAGCCATCTTGTTTTTAAATAAATGTAAAATACAATGTTTGAAATTAAATATTAAATTAAAAAGTATATTAAAATTAAATTCATCGCATTTAGATTAGCATTATTAGAGATTTAGAACTGGGGACAGAACCGAACCAGAAAAAAATAAATCAGGCAAACGTAAGAAAAAACGCAGATAAGTTACCAGGTGGTTTGAGGTATTCTAAGCACGAGCCAAGTATAACGTTGCAGTCTTTGTCGGTGCAAATGAAGACGCCAATCAGAGTTCGGCCGTCCGTCATTGTAATTTTCAAATTTCTATTCAGCCACGATCCTAAAAGACATTTTCCGTCTGCCGGGTCAGCAACTGCTGGTAATTCCTATATAAATAAATAAAATTAGTGAGTGAGGTTCAGTAATAAAAATTGAAATGCTCAACTAAACTAGTAAAAAAAAAGCTAAATTAAAATTATTCGTTTACCGTTTCTGAAGTATCACCCATTGTTTTTGTTTACATTTTAAAAGTAGATTGGATTTTGAATACTCGATCCACAAATATCAAACCCTGGCGAGTTAACTTGTCGTAAAAATTGCACTCTTTCGAACAATTAAAAACATTCTAATTATTTTAATTAATTAATTTTAAATTTGTTATATTGAAAATAAAATTTAAAAAACTCAATTAACATTTTTTTATTGTAAAAATTTAAAATTTTAAAAAATAAAAAAAAAATTTTAAATAAACACCTTAAACATACTTGCATTAGCCGTACATATATTCCGATAAAATATTAGACGTTAGCTTTGCGCAGAGGCAGTACCATAGCCAGTGAGGTTCATCCGAGGCGTGGTTATTGCTAGTTGAAAACTAAACCCAATACCCCGCGATGACCCCGTGCAATACCGGGGTCAATCGCAATTTCTGTACGCCCCTACGGGGGTAGCTTATAATTCCAAATTAATATTTGTTGGTTGGGATTTGGCTGTGATTGAATGGTATGATTGAATGGATTTTTTCCTATTTTATGTACTTAACAACAAACAAACCGTGCTACTGTGAGCATAACAGTCGCAAAACGCAACGTACAAGCACATGTAGGCGTTAGTTCTACAATCGCCTTACGAAATTGATGCGTGACAGTTCTCAGATTTGGAACATCAGCGTTCGAATCATGTCCCGACCCTGTCAGGTCGTAGTACATCCTTCACTCACGCCATCCAAAATAGATCAGCAACTGGTCTTTTCAAATGGTTTCTAAATTAAACTGCGTTGTTTCATTTTTTTTTGTTAGTATGTTGATTTGTTTTTCTTTTTACCTAATAAATGTTTAAAATCCTAACAGGCGCGAAGTATTTGATTAAAAAAAGAAAACAATTCAGAAAAATTACGAAAAATTACGAAAAATTAATCCAGGTATCACGTTCGAAATCAGAGCGTGTAAAAGCAGGCCTCAAGACTATCTAGCCAGGGAGGTGTCAGTGGATAAAACACAGCATGTACAACGTGTAGAGGTATTGTATTAGTATTATACGTACACACTCCATCAACTTAGAAATATCCATCAAAATCCTCTTTATTTACATGGCATTCCGTGCCTTTGTTCATCTGAGTATTTCAAATAGACCGTACCCACAATAAACATTCTGTATATTAAATTTTGCTTGTGAAAGGAACATGGGAAATTAAAAAAATAAAGAGAGAGAGAGAGAGAGAGAGAAACAGAGGGAGAAGAAAAAGATAGAAAGCACAAAGAGCCAGAAAAATGAAAAAAACGAAAAAATATGAGTGAAAAAAAGAGAGAGAAAGAGAGAAAAAGAAAGAGAGAAACAGATGAAAAAAAGATAGAAGAGAGAGAGAGAGAGAGAGAGAGAGAGAGAGAGAGGAAAAGGAAGAGGAGGAAGAAAAATGTAATTCTTTTTCTTAAAAATTTAATTTAGAACATGTCAGACCTTCTCTGAGATTATAACTTAGCCAAGGATATCATGAAGAAAAAATCAGTTAGAGCAGAAAACCTGAAAGCAATACAAACAAGAATGAAAATAAGAAACTAAAAAATTAGGAATAAGAGTTAAATAATAAGAATAATAATAAAATAAAAATTTAACAATGAAAGAGTAGATTGTAGATTGACGTAATTAATTATTTTTTAAAAGAAAGAGTTAATAATGATAAGAATGGGAATAATGAATTTGCTAACATAAATAGCAATTATTTAAAAAATATTAACTAATGTTATAATTGGGTTAATAGACTATAACCTGTTATATTCTATCTTATTTTCTTCCTACACTCAATTTGTTTGATTCTCTCTTTCTCTCTCCCTCTCTCTCTCTCTCTTTTTCTCTCTCTATCTAGCGTTTATAAATGACAAAGTTGCTTTTCATAAAAAAAAGGTTTGATAATGTAAATCTACATTGGAAAAAAAGACATAGTAGAAATCGTAAATAACCGACAAATCGATTACCGAACCGATCGAAGCGAGTAATCGTGAACTAATGGACCGATGGTCCGACTGTCCGGTTCACAATTTGACTGGTGGCACGCACGTAATTTCGAATTTGTTTCTAAGTTCTAACGTTGTTGTTATTAGTGTTGTTGTTGTTGTTGTTAGTCTTGTTGTTGTTAGTCTTGTTGTTAGTCTTGTTGTTGTTGATGTTGTTGTTAGTCTTGTTGTTGTTGATGTTGTTGTTAGTCTTGTTGTTGATGTCGTTGTTGTTGATTCTTGTAGCTATATATTATCTCAACTAAATTTTGTTGCTGTTGTTGTTGAGCTGTTGTAGCCAGTTTGTCGTTGTTGATTTAATTGATGTTGCTATTGTTGTTGCGATGAATTTGTTAAAGGGGTGATGTTGTTGTTTGAAAGCTTGGTAGATGATACTTCGCTTTTTGTTTTTAGGCCCACCTCATTAGCTATGCTAACGAGTGCAAGTCGGTTAATTTATTATGTTAATTAACCGAGCTAACGCTTTCAGCATAAATTATTTATGTTAATGATTTTTACATCATTCAATTATGAAGTAACGTCGGAAGTAGCCGTATTAGCAATAGTAGTAAGAGTAGTAGCAGTGGTTAAAGTGGTAGTATTAGTATTAGTATTAGTATTAGTAGTAGTAGTAGTAGTAGTAGTAGTAGTAGTAGTAGTAGTAGTAGTAGTAGTAGTAGTAGTAGTAGTAGTTGTAGCAGTGGTAGTAGTAGTAGTAGTAGTAGTAGTAGTAGTAGTAGTAGTAGTACAAGTGCAACGAAAAAAGTAG